CTCTTTTCCCAGGATGTCCATAAATATACTAGAAGCAGGCCACACCCCTAGGGAAACTCCCTTTCAACAGATTGGCTGCTCAAAACATACACATCTGATCCCATCATTGGAACAACCCACATCACAATTGCTTAAACCACACAGAATTGTGGTCCAGCCAAGTTAACACACAGCTCCAACTATCACAGTACACATTTCACCATATGTATATGTGTATCTATCTGCATTTGCAGTGTGTATATGTGTACACGTGTGTATATGCACGTGTCTCTGTATACATGGTTCTGTATGTATATGTGCATGTGTGTATATGTGTGTCTGTGATATATGTGTGTTTCTGTACATATGTATGTGTGCATCTGTGTGTACATGTTTCTGTATGCATGGTTGCCTGTGTACACGTTTGTGTATTTGTGTATCTGTGTATACATGTTTCTATCAGTATATGTGTGCATGTTTGTGTACATATGCCTGTGCACATGTGTGTATCTCTGCATGTGTATATGTGTATGTATATGTATGTGTCAGTACACACATGTCTGTGTGTATGTACATGTGTGTTTGTTTGAGTGCTGTGATAGGCTGTTGTCTGTATGTCTCTGAAGGTATGTTTTTGTGTCCATGGGAGCCCACCTACCCAGGTGTGCCAGTGCGGGCCTGTGGCAGGGTCCATGCAGTCTATGTTTGCTGTGTCTGCTCTGAGTGTGGCTGCCATGTAACCATCTCTGAAAACATCAGCAGGTGGGTGTCCTTGTGGGTGTGGAGAATGTGCGTATCTGCAAGGGGGCATGCGTGTGCACCCACAGCTGCGTATAGTGTGTCCCCACAAGGGAACATGCTTCTGTGCATACACACCAACACTTGCATAGTGTGTGTCCACAAGGGCATGTGCATGCGTGCGTGCACATCCAGCTGCATACAGTGTGTGTCCACAAGGGCACATGTGTGTGCACCCACACCTGCGTACAGTGTGTGTCCACAAGGGCACATGCATGTGTGCACCCACGCCTGCGTACAGTGTGTTCACAAGGGCACGTACGTGTGTGTGCACCCACACCTGCGTACAGTGTGTTCACAAGGGCACGTGTGTGTGCGTACAGTCTCTGTGATGTCCTCCCTCTCCCAGGGCTGCTGTCCCAGAGCCTGGAGTTCAACTCTCCCGCAGACAACTACACCGTGTGTGAAGGCGACAATGCCACCCTCAGGTACCTCTAGCCGGGGGGACTCCGGTTCTGCCCCTTCAGCTTCTAGATCCTCACTTTCTGCCTCTATGAAAGAGATTTGGGGGGAAACCCTGACCTTCTGGGACAGCCTGGCACAAGGAGCTGGGGCGTGGCCTGACACTTCCCCAGGAGACAGGTGGTCCAGGTGACTCTGACTCCAACTCCACCCCTGGGCCTGGGCCCCCATCTGTCGTGAGAGCGGAGCAAGAGCCCAACTCCACCCCCAGGCCTCAGCCCGGCCTGTCAGGAGCGCGGAGCTACAGCTAAGCTCCACCTCCGGGCCTCAGCCACTCCCCCGCATCTGTCATGAGATTGGAGCTACAGCCCAGCTCTACCCCTGGGCCTGGGCCCCGCCTGTAAGGGGGCGGTGCTTAAGCCCAGCCCCACCCCCGGGCCTCAGCCACAGCCATCAGGGAGTGGAGCTACAGCCGCTTCATACACACACGGGGCCAAAGGACTAGCTAGACACACGGCGGCTGCGCAGTACATGATGATCAGAATGGTGATGTCCCCCAGCCTCTCCCCGCCACTCAGGGGCTCCATCCCCCTCTCTCTGGCTCTCTGGCTGACAGACATTTAATAACTGTCAGCTATCACTCCCTTGTAGTACTTGGACCACTCTGTCAGCCTCTCTTTATCCACCTGTCAAATGGACACAGGACTGTCCGCTTCGTAGGGCTGCAGGGGGGACTTCCGATGTGGTGGGCTCGCTGCGCCCCCGGCCCACCCCAGCCTGGGGAACCTGGAGGGCCAGGTTCCGAGCGGTGGGGGAGAAGAACCTTCCTCTCCCCGCCCCCCACCCCGCAGCTGCTTCATCGATGAGCATGTGACGCGCGTGGCCTGGCTGAACCGCTCCAACATCCTGTATGCGGGCAACGACCGCTGGACCAGTGACCCGCGGGTGCGGCTGCTCATTAACACGCCCGAGGAGTTCTCCATCCTCATCACGCAGGTGGGGCTCGGCGACGAGGGCCTGTACACCTGCTCCTTCCAGACCCGCCACCAGCCGTACACCACTCAGGTCTACCTCATCGTGCACGGTGAGCAGGAGCGCGGCCAGGGCCTGGGGGGGGCGGCGGGGCCGGAGGGAGGCGGAGCCGGGGAGGGGGCGGAGCCGGAGGGAAGGCAGGGGAGGAGGGAAGGCGGGGCCAGAGGGGAGGGGGTGGAGGGGAAGCAGAGCCAGAGGAGGCAGAGAGGAGATGGAGCTGGAGGAAGGGCGGGGCCGGAGGGGAGGGGCGGAGGGGAGGCGGGGCCGGAGAGGAGGCGGGGCCGGAGGGGACGGAGAGGAGCAGGAGCCGGAGGGAAGGCGT